CCGGCCCCCCCCCCCCCTTCTCTCTATTTCGATCCCGTTTGTCTTCTCTCATGTTTTTGGATCGCGATTCCGGTGTGAAGGTGATTATGGTTTAGGTTTAAGCGATGGACATCGATCTGTGAATCTGACGATTACTAGTAGACGGTTTTGTTCACTGTCACGAGGTTCTTCGATTGAAGGACACTGTTATATCCATCTTCCATTCAAATTCGCTTGTGTCTTTGTCAATGGTTTCGTTCGGATTCCTGCTTTATGAATGTGATCACTACTGCACTATTCCATGATCCATCCATGGAGAATTCCTTGCATCTATACCAGATCGGGAGGGGAGCAGTTTATATTTGTGTGAGTGTATGCATTTGATCCACCGAAATAAGGACACTATAGATAGCTTCGTCCTCCGTTTGGTCTTTGGTGTTGCTCTTTTTCGTTTTGCCGTCAAAGAAACACAGTGTACTTACTAGTTACTATACGAAAATGGTTTCCGTGTTATACGTATTTACAGAGTATATATAGGCGTACAATACACCCTAAATATACGTATTTTACATTGTTCCCCTTATACTTGGTCTCCCAAAATCATTGTTTTTGTAGGAAGAAATTAGCCAAACAAGCTTCCAAGTAAAACCGTTATGTCTGATTGTTTGTTCATGTCAGGATCTGCTCCTTCTTGATTTGCCATTTCAATATATATATATATAGACACTTTGGATGTATCACCGATCGTGTTCTAACGAATTCAAAACCCTTTTCTGGTCGTGTTCTTCAGATGTTCCATTTGATGCCTTCACCACAAGGAAGCTTCTACGTGCAGAACGACATATTCAGGTTGAACTATGCCTGAAACTGGATCTGCTTTCTCGTGGAAACAGAGGAATGTTCTTTTGTTTGATCGCCACTACCATGTACACTGATTCATTTGATTAAAGGCAGATGATCAATGGATTGTGTGTTGTTGTTGTTTTTTGGGGAAAAAAATAATATTATGTACAAATTTGAAAGGTAATACACTGTTTTTAGATAGCTAATTTGTTATGAATGTGAATGGTGTTTAATTATCAACCGAATCTTTAGATTTTACACATTCACACTAATATATTGTTTTCAAAAGTAAAGAGTATAAAAGAATCTGTCCAACCTTTATAAAATATCAAATTTTAATTCGTCAAATAAAAAAATCTATAAATTATCAACTTTTAATTTGACCAAAAAAAAAAGATTTCAAATACACCAAATATTAAAATGTGTTAAAAACATCTCTAACTCTTGAAAGCGAAAGAAATCTGAATGACACTATCGAATGATTATAACCAAATTACTTAAAATTATTTTATATACAGAATTTAATGAATTTTATAACTCTGTATTCATTTATAGGAAGTTGCTTTCGATTTAAGTTGAAGTAATTTTTTGGTATATTTTAATATTTTATTTATTTATTTCTCAAATTTGATATAACATTTTTACATATTTTGTATAGTTATTTTTATGGGATTTTCCTATAAGAAGAATCTGTACAACTTTTTTTTTTGTTACAGTAGACATATGCAAACATTAGCATACAAAAATCTGTTCGGTGGTTTATTTCGGTTTGGTTCGATCCGGTTAGTGCACTCACCAGTGTGAAGAAAACTGAAAGTACATGAACTGGTTTATCGACAAGAAAATGGTTGTGAGATTACCGAAGCCTCCTCCTGTGTTCTGCCACAGCTGTCTCTTGACGCCGTTGACCGTACGGTTTCGGAGCAGTTCGAATCGACCTATCAAGAAAGAATCCGACACAACGGTGAAAATGGCGGCTGCAGGCGAAACGGCGCCGTCTAATTCCACCCCCGTCATCGACTCTCATCTCCACATTTGGGCTTCTCCTCAAGAGGTTGGTGGGCTCTGAAATTTCCTAAAGCTCGTGTTTTTTTTTCTCTAAATTCTCGATGGTTGTAGTTTGGTTTCTCTCGAAGGATTCGAGATTCAGACATGTCTAAGTAAAGGGTATCCCTAATTGTGGATCAAATAATGCGTTTGAATCAATGGCTGTTGCGATCTGTTCTTGGGAAAAATGATTTTTGATTCTCTGGGTATGAAATTGGTTTTTCCAGGAGTTCAAGTGATTGTCAAAGATTTACTCACTGTCATGTCATTGGTCTGATGGAATTTTCAGTTGTGTTTCAGGCTGAGGTTCATCCTTATTTTCCTGGACATGAACCAACTTTGCAAGGGGATGCCGAATTCTTGCTCAAGGTCTGGAAAAGTTTGAACCTTTTCTATGTTCTTTGATCGAATTGGGCCGTGAAGAAGTAATTAACAGAAGAATCTCGAGAGTTTTCATTACGGTTTTGAGAAGAATCTTTTAACTTTCATGTGTGTCTCTCGATTGTTTCCTGACTTAGAACATGGAAGAAGCAAGAGTAGATGGAGCGCTCATTGTTCAGCCAATCAATCACATGTTTGATCATTCTTTAGTAACAAGGTCTCTCCCCTCTCTTACACCTGAATCTGCAGTTTTCTTATCCGTCGGTCCTATCGAATATATCGTTGTAAATTCTTCAAAGTCTTTGAGATATTGAACTGATGGGAAGGCATCGAGATAATGCCCTTTGATCTTGAGAATATGCTTCTTTCACTTTGTGTAAATTTCGGCTTTTAGCATCACTGAACTGTCAGTTTTTTGTGAACTCATTGTTTATCCGTTGTAGCTATCGAATTCGTTAAATATTTAATGCATTTGTAATTCACTTGTTTAAATTCTTCATTGTGCCCTTTTCTTCCTTGCAGTGCCTTGAAGAAATACCCATCAAAGTTTGTTGGCTGTTGCTTAGCAAATCCCTCGGAAGATGGAAGCGGAATCAAGCTCCTCGAGAATCTCATTGAAAAGGTCTCTGCTTTCGCTGTTTTCACGAGATATTCCCGATACCATATACCTCAAAATCTATCTGATGTTGAATTTGTTTCGTGGTAGGATGGATATCGAGCTGTTCGGTTCAATCCCTATCTGTGGCCTGATGGCCAGAAGGTTCCATTTTCACATTTTCATCTGTGTTTTCTTCACTCTCTCCAAACGAAATTCTGGGATTGAGTTTCGATTCTTCATTACGTAGATGACCAATACTGTCGGTAAGGCCTTGTTCTCGAAAGCCGGGGAGCTCGGTGTGCCTGTAGGCTTTATGTGCATGAAGGTATCTTAGTTATGGTTCTGCAATTTGGTTTGAGTAAGAAAATATCTGCTCCAGAAATTTTTCTTACTGTTTTTTATTGGGTTATGCGATTCATTTCAGGGTCTGAATCTGCACATTTCAGAAATAGAGGAGCTATGCACCGAATTTCCGACAACGACAGTTTTACTCGATCATATGGGATTCTGCAAAGCGCCTCGGTGAGAGAGATCTTCTTGATGGCATTTTCTTTGTTGTTGCGGGAAATAGGGGTGGACGCGGATTGAGTACCCGAGTTTTTGTGGGTACCCGACCTCGCCTTACTGGGTTTCATGGCCGAGAAGTATCTTGGCCTCGGGGTACACTAACCCGTGAAAAGCCTGCAAATCCTAGTTGAACCAAGTATTTTTTAAATAACTGTAAGCATCAGAGGTAACCCATCACACGATGGTAAAACCTGCAGCTGAATCCGGGGTTTGGGTTCCTCATCTTGTCCCACCCGTGCTCGACCTTTTTCACTGCCGGGTACCCGTGGGTCTGCTGATAACGGGAATTAACGCCCACCCCTGGTTAGAAACAGTTCAGTATCCTCAATTGCTGAAAGAATAACACTAGCTTTAATGCTTCCTCAACTCGCAGGAACGACGAGGAAAGCCTTACCTTTACTCGACTCCTGAATCTCTCGAGATTTCCGCAGGTGAGAAAGAGGAAACGTCTTTCCGAAATCTGAATGCTTTTCATATGCTACAACTAATGCTTCGGATTGTTATTTACTGACCGAAGAATCTGAAACAAACAGGTTTACGTCAAGTTCAGCGCTTTATTCAGGCTATCGAGAAACGGTTTCCCGTATCAGGACCTATCTCCTCTCCTTTCTCGGGTCGTGTCCCGTTTCGGGGCGGACCGTGTCATGTGGGGAAGGTATTTTCAGTACCGTATGCAGAACTTTCGATATACGAAACTCGTGGAATGAAACTTGATTCATCCTCCTGTTTTCGTTGTCTCGATTTTGTAGCGACTTTCCGTTTGTTGTTGCTGAATGTGGATATAAAGAAGCTAAAGAAGCTGTCGCCATTGTTGGCGAGCAAGCATCCTTGTCAAGCTCCGAGATGGATTGGGTTTTGGGCAAGACTGTGATGCAGCTCTTCCATGGAAGCTGGTCCGGTCTTTAGACATCGCACTTGTAAAACCCCTGTAAGAAAACGATGCGGATCAGACTGTGAATTTATTGTATCGGAAACCCGAAAAATGGATCGATGGCTCGTGAACCGGTTTTTTAAACGAGCCGGAAAAATCATGGCTCGTCTCGCCAAGAAACGAGATGACTCGTGAATCCTATGTCGTTTTTTACACCCCTATCCAAAACCCGAATACCGAACTCTAATACAATGATAATTGGATTTCGATACCTAGACGAAATGGTTTCATACAAAATCACGGATATTCGAGTCTTGTCCAATCCACCCAGAAATGCATACAGAGACAACTGGATCGGCATCTCGGTTCAGTCTTGGAAAGTTCAAACCGACTCGAAATCGAATTGAACCGAATATTGTAGAGATGGAGTTTCGGTATTCGGTTCGAGTTTGGTTTAGGTCATTCGATTCTAGAAAAATATATATCAGTAAATTATTATATTCTCGATTCGATTTGGTTTTCAAATTTTTAAAACCATTATCATTCATGATTTTTGAACGATTCGGACGATATTATTGATTAACATGAACCGAATAAATATCCAACCAAAACTGAATCGAATACGGAACCGGCAAAAATAAAATAAAAGAAAATAATATACACAACAAAATAAACTGTGTATATACCCAACAAAATAAAATAATATACCTTTTTGGCATTAACATAAAAAATGACGGAAAACACAGAAAAAGGTTATTGACGACGAACAGCATAGACCTTATCACTTTCGAGCGTTGAGCGTTCGCTAATGGAGAATTCCTACAAAACCCTAGAGATCGTTCGCAAGATCCCTACTTCCTCCGTATTTCATCTCTTCCTCAACAGACCCTTACGATCCAACGCTCTCTCCCTCGATTTCTTCGAGGAATTCCCCTTAGCCCTATCCTATCTCGACCAAAACCCGGATGTCTCCGTCATCATCCTCGCCGGCGCCGGGAAACACTTCTGCTCCGGAATCGACCTCAACTCCCTCTCCGTCATCTCGGACAGATCCGTGTCCGGAGACAGAGGACGATTCGGCGAGCGGCTCCGACGTCAAATCAAGTCGATGCAGGATGCGATCACGGCGATCGAACGGTGTCGGAAGCCCGTGATCGCCGCTGTTCACGGCGCGTGTATCGGAGGCGGTATCGATATCGTCACCGCGTGTGATATTAGGTATTGCTCGGAGGACGCTTTCTTCTCCGTCAAGGAGGTGGACCTGGCGATCACGGCGGATCTCGGCACGCTACAGAGGCTTCCGACCATCGTTGGGCACGGAAACGCCATGGAGTTGGCGTTGACGGCGCGAGGGTTTTCAGGTCGTGAGGCGAAGGATTTGGGTTTGGTTTCTCGGGTTTTCGGATCTAAATCGGAGCTCGACGAGGGCGTCATGATGACCGCTGAGGGTAATTTATGTGCTTAATCGATTTGTTCTGGAAAATTTTCCTTCATTTTCACGGTGAATCTGCTGATTTGTGCGTGAATTTGAGTCTGAAATCAAAACTGCAGAATCTGCGCAAGCTCTTAATCTAGGATTACTCCAAGAACAAGCTTTCATAATCTCCTAGAATGCTGATTAGTCTTCTCAAGTGAGAATTTCAGCTCTAATTACCAAAAGCATCTCCGAATGCTGAATTCAGTGATCTGGGTGCTAACTAATTTTGGAATCAGAGGTTGAGAGATTTTGCAAATAGCTTCAGGGTCTCTGCACAATGAGTCTGTAATGTTGGATTCTCTTATGAAATCCCTCTTTGCTTCATCTTAATATGAAGAATGATGGATTAATGCTCTGAGTGTCATGGGAATGAGAAAATGGCTAAACTTTTGCAGGAATAGCAGTGAAGTCTCCTCTGGCCGTGACAGGGACAAAGGCGGTGTTACTGAGAAGCCGAGAACTCAATGTAGAACAAGGTCTGGATTACGTTGCTACTTGGAACTCGTCAGTGCTCATATCCGAAGATCTAAACGAGGTCGTGGAAGCTCAGATGAAGAAAACGCAACCCCGTTTTTCGAAACTGTGATCAGTAACCATTGCTTGTTTCCTTCAGCATCTTTTCAGCTAAGGCTTCCTGAGTTTTCCATAGAAACGGGCACGGCTTCAATGAGTCAGAATAAAAGGTGGAAACTTTGATATTTGGAAGATGGCAATGCCAAAGATACACTTAAAGCAATGTTCCTTGTTTTAATCTTGATCAAGTCCAATTGTTGACTTTGTCATTATTCTAACTAGTCAATCCAAGACTTCACATTGGTCTCCTCCATCTCATGCAGATTATATATATATATAATCAAAGAGCAATGACTATAAACGTCAAAATCATGTCCAAACCTTACTTGTGAATCAATAAATCTTCCGAAAAGCACCCAAACAATAATTTTTTTTAAGAACTTTCTATTTTTTGGAGGAAAAAAATAAAGGAAAGGGAAGGAAAAAAGTGTTTTTTTTTTTTTTGAAGTTCGTTTTGACAAAAGCATATCAAAACCTACTTGAGAATCAAGAATCTTCTGAAAAACACCCAAAAACTTAATTTTTTGAATAACTTACTAGGGTTTAGGGGGGGAGGAACGGAAAGGATTTTTTTTTTTTTTTTGTGAAGGTCGCTTTGACAAAGGCATATGAAAATCATGAGAATCAAGAAATCTTCTGAAAAACACCAAAGAAAACATTTTTTTAAGGACTTTAATTTTTTGGGGGGAAAAGAAAGGAAAAGAATTTTTTTTTTGTGGAGGTCGTTTTGATAAAAGCGTATCAAAACCTTACTTGTGAATCAAGAAATCTTCTGCAACCCCCCCACCCCCAAATAAACAATTTTTTAAGAACTTTCTAATTTTTATGGGAAAAAAGAAAGGTAAAGGAACAGTTTTTTATTAGATCGTTTCGACAAAAGTATATCAAAACCTTACTTGAGAATCAAGAAATCTTCTGAAAACCACCTAAAAAACAATTTTTTTTTTAAAAAAAAAGACTTTCTAGTTTTTGGTGGGAGAAAAAGGAAAGCCTGTGTTATAAAAATCCAAAGAAGCAATCGAAACATTCGACCTTTGTTTTCAGAAGAAAAAAAAGGGACGAAAGCAAGGTTCAAAGAGCATATTCTTCCAATAAGAAGATCGTTGACCTTTCCTCTCAGGTGAGGAAAAAAAACTCCTGAAGTTCTTCGAATGGAATATTCCATTCGATCTCTAGAGCCTTCTTCTCATGTATCGAATGGAATATCCTTGTACGATCCTCCCATGGAAATTCTCTCATTGTTCGTCATCGATTCCCCCTTCCTTCAACTCCGTTTTTCTAAATTTCAAAACCTTTTTCATTTATTTAGCTTCTTAATCTCTTGAACCCTCGTAAGAAACCATGGTCCTGAAGGCTGTTCACGTCTCCGATGTCCCTAATCTCGACCAAGTACACGTCAACACGACGTTGTCCGCCTCCTCTGCTCGGTTCTCGATCGGTAAGTTCAGATGGGTTTCGCTGAAATCTTGTTTTCGTCAATGGGTCTCGATTAGAATTTGGTAATCGTGTTTAACTCGGCGTTTCTCGGCTGATCTCGGGTGTTGAAGATGACAAGGGGCAAGCTTTTAGTTTCCCGGAATTTGTAGTGATGGGTCATAGAGGATTCGGGATGAACATGCTTCAATCTCCGGATAAGAGAATGAAATCGATCAAAGAGAATTCGATTCTTTCCTTCAATGCCGCTGCAGATTTCCCTATCGACTTCATCGAGTTTGATGTTCAGGTGTTTTTTTTTTCCTTCCACTTTCCCCGATAATCCAGGAATCTGGTGCAGAGATTTCCTTTTTCAACTGAATCATCATCTCTGATTTCGTTTCTGATTTTATATTTGTTTGAATCCGATGAACCTATATTAAAAACGTGTGATTTTTCTTGTAGGTTACGCGAGACGGTTGCCCTGTGATTTTCCATGATATCTTCATGTTTACTCAAGAACAGGTTAGGGTTTCTTTCAGCATTCTCCAAGTCTTGGTTTCCACGAGCATGTATCAATATTTTTCGTCTCTATCGATATTCTGAATTCAGGGAGAGATTGTTCAGAAGAGGGTAACCGAGCTGAGTTTAGATGAATTCCTCTCCTACGGACCGCAAAAAGATACCGGAAACGTAATCATCGAATCTCTTGCTCCGTTGCCTTCTTCCTCCGTTTTCGTTATCGTTTCTCTCTCGGCTTCGTTTCATCTGTTAACGTTAAGCTTCTCGATATTCATCAGATCGAGAAGCCAATGTTGAGGAAGACGAAAGACGGTAGAATGTTCGAATGGAAGGTCGAGAAGGATGATCCTCTCTGTACCCTTCAAGACGCTTTCGACAAAGTGAAATCTTCGTTAGGTTTCAATATCGAGCTCAAATTCGATGACAATATCGTCTATAGAGAGGAAGATTTAGTTAGCACGCTCGCGATTATCTCCAAGGTATCATCAAGAAGATTCACATTCGATTCTTTTCCATCGTATCGACGAATTCTGCTACTGGAAACTACAGATTCCTAAGCTTCTGGTGAGCAGGTAGTGCATGAACATGCCAAGAACCGGCCGATAATCTTCTCGAGCTTTCATCCCGATGCAGCTCAGCTTATCAGGAAGATTCAGAGATCTTACCCGGTAAGATTCGTCATCCGGGTTTTCCTCTTTCTGAAAAACTACTCAATCCGATCTGAACCTCTCATTACATTGTTCTTCCCGTCGAGATTTCAGTATCGACAAATGCTTATGAATGTTTCTTCCCAGGTTTTGTTCATAACAAATGGAGGATCTGAACTCTATAACGACGCAAGAAGGAATTCATTAGAGGAAGCCGTCAAGGTTTGTCTTGATGGCGGCTTGCAAGGGATAGTTTCCGAGGTTAAGGCCATCCTAAGAAACCCGAGCTCGGTTACCCGAATCAAGGAATCGGACCTTTCCCTTATATCCTACGGCCAACTGAAGTAAATTCATCGCATCCCGGTTTTCTTTTTCTCACTTTCACTAACCATTTAGTTACATAATCTTCTCGATATTTCTGATGGAATTGCAGCAATGTCGGAGAGGTGGTCTGGTTGCAGCGCCTAATGGGCGTCGAGGGAGTGATCGTCGATCTCGTCGAGGAAATCTCCGAGGCTGTGGCCGATATCGGAGACCGGAACGAGGGAGAAGAGAAGAAAAAGGTTAAGTTTTCAAAGGATGAGCTCTCCTTCTTGTTAAAGCTTATACCAAAGCTGCTTCAACAGTGAAGATTTCGTAAATTTTCCTCGACCGTTTATTGCTTGTGAATCATATTTAATATTTCTCCTTGTCGGTCGAATTTAGATAACAAGTGCAGTTTGAACTCCAGAAGCTTGTGGATGAATTGTGTGTCTCCTCAGCTGAGTAATTCTGTGTCCACAGTTACATCATTTTAGCATTTATTTTCTAATTTTATTGTTTTTTAACATATTATACTTTATATTAATTTCGATTTGGTTTTAAGAAAATTATATCTTAATTTTGTGCGTTAAGCCGTCAACCAAACAACAGAAAAGCAAGGGATTTCAAGCTGTTTGGCTTGTATTCGGTTCGGTTATTATATTACATTCTATTTTATTTCGATTCACATAGAATTTTTATTAAAAAAATGTATATTCTTTTAAGAAATTTTCAATTTCCTTAATATTTAATTCGGTCAGTTATAAGATATTCGGTTTTCTAAAAGCATTACTGAATTTTTAAACGGTTCGATTCGAAAACGATAGCGAGTTTTTCATTTGGGTCAAGGGAACCGAACCGGAGCGCCCAACATTGCATGATGTAATGTTTATACCAACAATCATGAAGAAGGAAAAAAAAGCTACCCGCCTGTTAAAAAAAAAAGGATTTTTTTTTCAATGGAATTATTCCACCGTCAATCAATGAATCATGGCTTTAATTTTATCCACTTACTCGCATGATAAAAAGAAAATGACTTTGTAAACTTACCTTTTCCCATTTTGGTGAATGGACCGTTCCCGCGAGTAAATTATCAGAAACGTTCCTAAAAAATATCATTTATAAAAAAAAAAAGATTATATTAAAAACTTGATCTTGTAGAAAAATAAAATGCGGAAATAAAATAAAATAAATAGAAAAGAACGGAATTACTTTTATTACTACATCTCTTCTTCTTGTTCTTACATTACAATGAAAATAACTCACATATTTATAGGAAAATTAATAACTGAAATAAAAGGAAATATAGATATAACGGAAATAAATATGATTCACAATATTTAACATAATATTGTGTTCCTCCAAAATCTAGATTTTCCTCCAATTACATATTCATTTTCCTACTTTAACATTCCCCCTCAAGATTGATTTTGAAAGAATGCAAAAATCAATCTTGAAAAGATAATGCGATAAAAATCCATAGACATTTTCATTGTCTTTTGAAAAATCCATAAACACCAAATTTAGTTCTTTTAGAGAATATTACTCATGTTCAAATCACTTCGCTTGACTTTGAAGTTCTACCTTTAACTCTTTTTGTCATAGCACCTCGCTTGATCTTAGAGTTTTTAGGTTTGACTTCTTTTTGTCACAGCACCTCGTTTGATTTTGGGATTTTTACTCCTATTTGAACGATTTGGATATATGAATATCCAAAAACTAAAAAAAAAGAAGAGATTGAGAAGAAAAAAAAAAGAAAGATATAGAGCAGATCGACCCGCTCTGATACCATGTAGAAAAATAAAATGCGGAAATAAAATAAAATAAATAGAAAAGAACGGAATTACTTTTATTGCTACATCTCTTCTTCTTGTTCTTACATTACAATGAAAATAACTCATATATTTATAGGAAAATTAATAACTGAAATAAAAGGAAATATAGATATAACGGAAATAAATATGATTCACAATATTTAACATAATATTGTGTTCCTCCAAAATCTAGATTTTCCTCCAATCACATATTCATTTTCCTATTTTAACAGATCTAATACGGCAATGATCATCAGGAGAATCAAACAGACTAACTCCAAAACAACAATTTCGAATCTTCTGTTGCGTTTAAAAAAAAAACTCACAAGATTCTCAAGTTCCCGACAAGAACAAGATCAAGAACCGATCTCCCCCCTTGGCTTGTTGCTGTTCAGTCTCCTGTCTCATAAAGTCTCAATCTTTATAACCCAAAGGAAAAAAAAAAAAGGGCTAAAAACAAAACTAAAAGATGGTAAGAAGAAACTATGAAACTCCTTATACTTACAAGAACCTCAAAGAGGAAAAGATTGCCAAGAGAAGTCGAGATTCCGACCTAGCTTATACGCCCCTTCAAGTTACCGATCCCTTTCGGTATAGTTCCCGTCAAATCGTTCTCGTAAACTTCGCTACATTCGGCATCGAGAAAGAAAAGGGTTAGTAAACATGATTCAACATTGTAATCTACTACACTAATCTTTCACAATTTGATCCAAAGATCTTGAGAGAGAGAATATTTCATTACAGATAATCGAGATTACTCAGCAGCCCAAGCTCCCGAGGTCCCTTCAATAGAAACAAGACTTAGATTCCTCTCCTTGTACCCGGCTCATCTCTTTTCGAGTATTCTTACATGTATGTATGCATCTATCCAATGCAATCCACACTCTCTGAAATCTAGATATATGCATAATAAACTGTTCTCAGATTCATCCAGATGATATATATATCAGCCAGATTCACATTAATATCCATTTGAATCAAGTTTAGTGTTCATCAGATCAGAGTTTCATCTCCATCATATCTTTCCACATATAATATAACAAGGATTTGATGCTCACAAACGAGTGACGCTGTTATTGGCGTTGCAACTAACGTGTAACCACGAACAAGTATTCACCAAAGTCGGATCCCAGCTTTGCATAACATTGTTCGGTCCACTATATGTACAGATTCATATTCATATCCCTACATCAGATCAATCAACAATAACAGCAGTAGCAAAGTTGTTGTTTCAAGATGAATACCTTCTGAATTGGCTGAGGCTGTCTGATTCACACTGCTGCATAAGCAACACAATCAAACCCATGATCCGAATCTCCATCGGTAACTTGATTTAAGCAAAATCTCGTCGAGGGCTACACTTTCAGGCGGCTTTATACAAAGAAAGGAGTTAGCTTTATTGACCAACTGTAGCTGCAAAAACGACTCAACCAATATGAGATTCTAACTTGATAGAGTAGAAAAATGAAAAGAGAAAACTCCAGTGAGTAATTGTTTCTAGAAGGTCAAGAAAACAGTTTCGTTTACTTTTAAGTAGAGCAGTTTAGAGAGTACAAGGGCGGCCTAGATAGTGCACAAAAAACACAGAAGGATGGCCAAATTATACATTTACGTAGAATCTTAGATAAACCCGAGAGAGGTAGTTGGATTAACAAAGCAAGGGATTCGGAAAAGTTGCTAACTTTATGGCTAAACAAGTAACGGGACGATACTCAAGTGAAAGGAGCTTCACTAGCTTTCACGAATCTGCCCTTCACACGCATCCTGGTGTCGGCTCTTGCCTTCCTCGATTCATATCTTATGGTTTTATCATATCTGTCGGTACAAGAAATCCGATGTGAAGCAATATGTGTTTTAGCCGGTCGAGGAAAAAAGGATGAAAACGGATAAATGAATCAGCATTACCTTCGATTTTTCTTCTTTTCTTTGTAACGCTGCATTGCATTGCCTCTGTTCTGAGCCACTCTTTCGGGATCAGCCATTGTCGCAGCTAGCCCAGTAGTCTTACTACTACTGCCGATGAACTGATCCGTGAAATGTAAGTCATTGGAGTTGTTGTTTGGAAGATTATTGCTCTCAGATGTTGCAGGTCCCTGACCTGAAGTTGAGCGATTTGATTCATCCTGCAAAGGTATTATCATCGGTATCACAATTCATCGAGAAGGATATACATACACACATATATATATATATACTTATATATATATATGGTTTCGGTAAGCTATCAATTTTTATCCGTTCATCAGCTGCTGAATTGTTAAACGAAGATGGTTAACGGTGAAAAATGAAGTAGCTTCATTTACTGGGCCAGATTTTATACTGCAGTCTATGAGAATAGCTGGAACGTGAGAGTTATAAGATCTGAAGCAGAATGAGCTTAGCCATTTCAAGAATTTAGAACAAATGCTTGCTTAATTTCCGATTACAGAATCTGAAAGGTTAGAAGCATTAGGGTTCACAGGAAAAAAAAATACTTAGATACCTGGCAATTATCTCTGAAACTTTTCGGATTGGTGGGATAGGTTTCATTCATAAGGTTGGTGAAGTTCTTGATCGTGAAAGTAGGGCCTGTTGTTACATATCCAGATTCTAACCGGTTAGGTTCCTCGGGGCCTCTGGACCGTCCTGAGTGAAAGTCCCATATCTGCATTTCAGGAATCTTTACATTGTAAAACCAACCAAAACATTCAGCACAAGATCTAAAACATGGAAAAAAACACAACAAACCACATTCAATATAACCTTCCGCACCATCAGAATGCCCATTTCGAAAACATCTATATCGTATTCAGATCAATTTCCCTCCGAAGAAGAAGGAACGACATTCCTCAAATCCAAAAGGTCAATAACATTTCTTGAGGCTGTGGTTTGTTGCATTTGTTCGGTAAGAAAACAGATCCAAGATCCAAGAAAACACAGAAAAAATATCTGGCCATGGTGTCTGGAAAAGGAGAAAATCCCCTCTGCAGGATATATTCAGGAAAAAGACATCATCAAAAGAACCTCAAGACTAATCTTTAATCACTAGAACTGGGAGATGAAACCGTGGCCTGTCTGATGAAATATGATCCGAGGGAATATACAAGAAACTTGACAACCATTAGCAAGAAGTTTAAACATCACTCAGAGACAGTTTGATCATACTGTCTGTCCAAAGGGATAAAAGATCATAACACAAAAGCGTCACTGGAACGAACACAGTCGTGATCCAAAACACAGAAACCTTTGGAATGGAGCAAGGGAAAGGGAATGAGAAAGATGAACCTGAGTACTCTGGCCACCACTACGATTAGCATTCCACAGCATACCATTACCACCTTCTGAACCATGTTCTTGCTCCGTTTGGTACATCAGCAGCGACGTAAATGACGTCGTTCGAGGCTCCTCAGTCACGGCTGCTCCACCACTGATCCCGTCCAGATCTTCCGTCCATCCTCCAAGCCTCTCCTGTATCTCTGGAACCATGACCACCTCCCCTTCTCCTTCTCCGTCATCGCCGTCGCCGTCGCCGTCGCTGTCGCCGTCGCCGCCCACTAAATCTCTCTTCAGCAACTCCTCGAGCTGCTCATACACCACCTGCTTATACTTTTCACGACTCGGGCTCTGTTTCTTGAACTCGTTCGGGACGATGAGCTCCTGCACGCCGTTGGATCCGGAAACCCACGAATCTAACGACAACCCGAAATTCTCCATCATCAGTGGCACTTCTTCTTCTTCTTCTTCTTCTTCACCTTTCCTGCCCACCAAATCAAGGCCCCACACGGCGGCGAGCTCTACCGCCGAAGGGCAACCGGAGAAGCCCTCCACGGAAGAGACGGAGCAGCTCCCATGGCCATCCCAGTCGCACTTTTGGCACAGAAAGAGGTTGTCGGTGAAGCACCGGACGGAGACCGGTTCGTTGCCACAGTTGTCACAGATCTGGGAACGCACGTGCTTCCGGGACAGGAGGTTCGCCGCGTGCACGTGCTGGTCGCAGAGCAGGCATAGCTTCGCCGTGTCGGCTCTGCAGAATAGCACAGCCGTTCGCTCGCCGCAGAAATCACACGTCACACTCCCCGACGAATTCCTGGAAGTGCCCATGTTCATCAAAACCCTAGAAATCTGGAAAAATCTCGAAAGTTCCCCTCTTTCCGTCCAGAGAGAATCTAAGCATATGGTTTTGGCAAAATCAGTTCTAAGTTTCCGAGTTCATGGAGGGTGGTTTTGCTTCTTCAAAGAGACCGATCGAAAGAGACACAGCCACATCTCACGTTTTCAACTTCTCCATTTCTAGGGTTTCACGAAAAAACTATCTCCAAATCTCGCTGCAGAGAGAGAAGACCTTGCCAACGAAGCTCTTGAAAATATCTCTCAATGATAATGTCACCACATAACATTATTGTACCGAAAAGAGATGCAATACACCGAAGAGGTACGGCGGTGTAAAATAATTCCCTGCGTCGCGGGTATTCCCTTATCGTACAACTAACGGTTCAGATTTTATAATTTAAGATCTTACAGTGCATTAATGGATAGGGTCTTTATTACACGTGAGAGTGGATGTAGACAAGCGTGGAAAGAAAATCCAATTAACCGATAATGCAAATTGATTTTAACATTTTTAATTCCATTCCCCAAATAGTAATGAACTTTTCGGCCTTGACTACTTGAGGTTTACCTAAACTATTTAAATCGACATCAAAACAAACAAGATACAGCCTGAATATTATTTTTTTATTGTTAATACAAATAAAAGATTCAATGATCTAAAAATAAAATAAACTGACTCCTTCTATATATATATATATATATATATATTATAATCATATAAATTGACGAATAAAAACAATGTACGAGCTGAATATATATATATCTATATATATATAATACACACCAAACATAGTGAAGATCGCTTCATTGGTCCAGTGTAATTCACATGTTATTCTATAAATAAAGTTAGGGGTTATGGGAAATTTATAAAATCATATTATCTATTATATTGATTTTTCATAAGAAAAGACGGCCTGGTAAAAAAAAAAAAGGAGTTGGGTTTTGATAGTGGGCCTGGTTAAGCCCAAGTAATGAATATAGTGAAGAAGAACCTTTATATTAATTTGACTATGGGCTTGGCCTTGTTTTCTTTCAAGTAATTGGGCCACGCTTTTCAACTTTTATATACATATATATATATATATATATATATATATATATTATATAATTTTACGGTAGAATATCCACGACTAAATTTTAAAAAATAACCAAAATAATGTTTTTCTTTTATCACATACTCTTATATTTTTTTAGCTATTTTATATATGTATACGTATATATAATATAATATATTTTGTGATATATAAAATTAATATATATATATAGAGAGAGAGATGAAACAGAGTCTGACGGTATAGGAAATAGGAATGTGGCATGGGGAGGCAATGACAATGGATTTAATAAAAGATATAATTAAAAGAATATATATATATATATATAATTCAAAGAGTACACATATCCCCAATGCTCATTCACTTGTCCTCAAGACATCATTCCAGAACATGCCCTTCACATTCTTCTTCGCTAAATCCTATGATTTTTATTATTTATTTATTTTGCCTTCTTCGTATCTTTCAAGGTGTTTGCATATAGTTTTTATTTTTGTTCATTATGGTGTGTGTTGGATTTAATCCGAAAAATTCCCAACTATAGATACTGTAGTTAAGGATACACATTTTATAAATTTCGATTATATTTTGATTTAATCAAAGGTTAATTTTTGTTTGCTTAGTTTTTTTTATCTATATGATTTTCTTTTTTTTTCCTTGGGATTATTTTTTTTAAATGTAAGATTCTTTTACAGGGCGGATGAGGTCAATATAAATGTCAAATAAAAAAAAAGGATGATTAGAATTGGAGAAAATGAGAGAGAGAGAGAGAGAGAGAGAGAGAGAGAGGGATAATAATTATGAAAGTGGAATAAGTAAGAAAAGGAAAGAGGGAGTTAGTCATAGAAAAAATGTGGGTGGGGTTTATTTTTATTTTATTTTAGGGTTTAGGAGATGTGTGCAAATGGCATGTTTTGAAGGGAAAAAAAATAGGGCCAATGATATAATTATAATGTTTGGAAAGGGAATATTGGTCCCTTTTTTTTATTTGAAAGTCCCATACACATTACACAGCATACAAGATGATCTCTCTCTCTCTCTCTCTCTCTCTCTCTCTCTCTCTCTCTCTCTCTCTCTCTCTCTCTCTCTCTCTCTGCTTCAACAGTCACCCTGCAGAGATTCCTTTCCCATGCCCCACCCAGCACCATTCTTTCACATATATACACACACACATATATATATATATATATATATATATATTACAACGAAAACAGTTTTTTAAAGAAAAAAAATCAAAATTGATAAATGGGTATATTTAAACTCGTGATTTTCCATAGGGTGAGACATTCTAGATTCCATTATTCATAAATCAAACTTATTGAACCAAATAACGACATGTAATATAATCGAATCAAAACCGAAATAAAGATCATACGGTTGGAATATTTTTATAATAAAAAAACTTTAATCTGTATCGAATCGAAATGAATATAAAAATAAACGAAAATCGGAAATTTTTTTTTAATAGAATAAGTATTTTATATTATTAACTTAAAATGAATATAATCTAATGTAAAACCTTAACGGATAGAAATTTTTTAAAATCGAAAACCAAAATATCGGCTCTTAGTTTTTCATCAAATAAAAATGTGAGTATAGATAGATGCTTTTGTATAACTTTAGGAATATTTTTATCGAACCGAAAATTTTCATTTTATTTTCTTAAATCTTTATTTGGAGTATTTGTAATTATAGAGTAGATTAATCAAATAAAATAATTTAAAAAAATAGAGAGAGAGGGGGAGGAGGGTCCTCTCCTCCAACTCCTAACACGTACGAGCCTTTTATTTCCGAAGGTCGTCCCTTTCCTTTTGTACACTTCCAACATATTCCCTCCACTTCTCGATTTCTCTGTCTTTTTCTTTTTCTTTTTCTTTTTATTTTAATTTCTATCGTTTTTTTCGGGTGAAGGATTTATGGAAACATCATTTTCGACTTTAAATTAATGTATCGACTCCCCTTATTCGTTTTTCTTTTACAATTGTTTTATTATAGTTATTAAAAATTATAATTAGGTTACAATATTTTTATTTGATGTTGTTTTATTATTATTAAAGTTTATATTTTATACTTAAAAAGATTATTAGTTATTTTAAAATCTTTAATTATCAATAATAACAGTAGTAATTACTTTATAACATATGAGTATTTTTCTATGTGATTGAATTTTTAAAATTTGTATAAAAACGGTCATGATATATCGAATTTAACTATATAGTTATATTGTGGAATGTGGATGCATTTTCTATGCATTGGGTTTATTGGTTAATTATGAATGAACTTAGGTTTTAACAATCAAAATTGTATATTTTCAACGAATGTAGTGAATTTTATCCAATCACCTACTCATTTTGAATATATATGCATCTGCCGACAGAGAAAGGAGATGGAATGTATATTCTTTAATTTATTACATGTTATATTAAAAATTTTCCCTTTTTACATTTACAAATTTAATTATTTTATGAAAAATGTAAATGAAAAAGTCTCCACATGGTGGCGGCTTTGACATTAAAAAAAAATAATAATTGAAATCAAGATCTTTATTCACGTTAAAGTTTACTCTAATTAGCTTATATTGTTTAAAATTTAGTTGACTTTCTTATATAAATCTTATTCTTGAAATGTTTATCTACAAGCACAAAATATACAAAGAATAAAGATACCCACACAAGAAACATAAAATTATTCATTTAATGATATTTAATGCTTTATAATCTTTGGCAGGATATGTAATGTACATATATGAATATAATGCACAAATTAGTTAGAGTTATTAATATTTCAAAATAAACAGACTAAAGAAAGTTCCGGCGTCCTTTTCGATAGGTACGTTAATTCTATTTATATATTTATATTGTTTTTATTCTAGTCATAAAATCCAATTAAATAAATTTTATATAATTTCCCTTCTTTTTAAAAACCCTGATTTTCCCACTTTTAACCCTTCCCAAGAATTTAATAAAGCCTTAATCTTTTTCACTAATCTCTCACACACGGGCGAGTAAATACACGCGCTTAAGTCCGCGCGTGAAAGACCGGTCTTAATGTTCCATTTACACGGACGTGAGACAAAATGCGAGCTCAGTGGTCACTTTGTGCCTGACAGTTACGGTCCACTTTCTCTTCAACCAACATTCCCCACGCGCCACCTCCACAGCGCGTGGTCCACTCGCTCACGAAATCTCGAAATTACGGAATTATCCTTTCTCTCTGTATTTCCTTGTTTTTCCCAATTAAAGAGTCCCTTCATCGTTTTTGTTTTGTTCTCCCAATCTCTCTCTCTCTCTCTCTCTCTCTCTCTCTCTCTCTCTCACCCGAAGAGCACAATCTCTTTTGGTTCTTTCTCTGTCTTTGGAAACTTTGTTTCCAACGAGTTCGTTTTTTCTTCTAGGGCAAATGACGGCTCCGGACATGGCGGCAATCACAGAATCTCTGGAGAGATCGATGCAGAATTGTTCCCTGAGCAATCGGAGAAGGATCGACGCCGGAGGAGGAGAATCATCGACATCGTTCGATAACATCAGCGCGACGACCGATGAACACATTCCGGTCTCCGACAGGACCTTGGAGCTGAATTCTCACATCTCTCTTCCTTGTCACTGGGAACAGTGTCTCGATCTCAAGGTGAAAAAACAGATACCCGTTTCTTCTTTTCTTTTTTGTTTATGTTTTTTTCTGCAGAAACTTCGAACTTGTGTCCTTTTCGCATTTGGGATTTGCATTAAATGCGGAACCAGGAAGGGAAAACGAATTCTTGGTGGATCTTTTTGTTGGTTTATGGGCACATTTGTGATTCCATTGTTTTGTTTCCTGGTGTTGCATTTATTGCTTCTCTATCCACTGTATGTGTGTATCTATCGCTCACGGGTCTGTATGGCTCGTGTGAGGAGGAAGAGAATGTTTTTTTTCCAAAAACCCTAGAGAGGAATACAGTTTTCTCAATGGCTTAGGCAAAAGTTGGGAGAAATCTGGAAGGAAAGTTTCAATCTTGACCATGGAAATCCAGAGGGCTTGGATGGAATAACTAGGGAGATGCATACACACATACATACATACACACGAAGCTAAAAAAAGTTCCTTTTTTTTTTCATCTCCCTTGTTGCTATTTGGATCAAGTAAAGTCCTTTTGCTTTTGCAGCCTGCCTTCGCGTTCGCGTTCTGGATTGGTTTCTTTTAATGGGAAACAAATGCTTTTTTTATTCAAAGAAATGTCTGTGTGTTTGGTGCCCATTTATAGATCTAGACCAAGCGTTTTGTTTGGTCGCGGAGCTTGGATGCAAAAGCGCAAAAGGAGAGAGTACTGCCTCATTCCTCTTTCCGGGAAAAAAAAATAGATAGAAAGTTTATATTTCACGAAACTGGAAACATTCGGGCGGGAGATTCGAAAAGAACTGAACTTTACGAGGGATTAATCAGAGGGTGTTTGAAATATGGGTGGTTTTGTGTTTACAGACAGGAGAGATTTATTACATAAACTGGAAGAACGGGATGAAAGTGAAGGAGGATCCGAGGAAAAGGGAATACAGTGGAGGATCATACGCGGTGTATTCAGAGGAAGACAGCTCTTACGACAGTGAAGAGTCGACGTCTGAATCGAAGAAGGAGGAGGAGGAAGAGGAAGAGGAAGAAGTGCTGGTGGTGGCTGGTTGCAAGGCTTGTTTCATGTACTTCATGGTGCCAAAGCTTGTCGAGGACTGCCCCAAATGTTCCGCCCATCTCATCCACTTCGATCGGCCTGACACTACTTCCCCTTAGAACTCTTCTTTCTCTTTCTTGTTTTTCTTTTTTTAAAAAAAAAAATCTGATGAAATGGTTCTTGACTGGGTATTAACACGATTCTCAACGTGGGAATGTTTTTTTTTTTAAAAAAAAAAAGAAAAGAAAAAAAGAGGGGATGGATGTTTTTAATGTGTTAATCATCAGTCACTATGAAACATTTTTTTTTTGTATTTTGCTTATGCCCTTTGGATCTTTTCCACTCCCAAGTCTTCAAGCTGTCTGTGCGGTGAGTTCGGTTTTTTTATTAGATTTGATTAAATGTTGGTAATTATATAAAAAAAAATATAGGAAAATGTATTTCAATCCAAACTGATAAAACAATATAAAAGATTACGGTTTTCATCTTTCTTTCTTTTAAGAGAAACAGCTAACATACATTACATATGTTTTGTAAGCTAGTTGAACACCCGAAATTCGGATATCTCATCCGACCTATGGGACAAGTGTCCTAAATTAGTATATCCGATCATTCAACGAAACGAGATCTGAGCGGTCATTTTAGGAATATCTGAATTTCGGATAATAATCTTTTAGTTGAATAATTATCACGGATTCAGATCTTGTCTCCGCAATATTTTTTTTCCAACAAATGTAAACTTTGATTAATACTTGTGATTTCCCTTAGAGGTAATATCTACGAATACCTGAAATTAATTAAATTACAGTTTTATCCTTAGAATCTTAAAATAAACCGTAAGTTATTTGAACAAGTTTTATACGCGAGAAAGAAACTAAACAAACGATGTAACATAACATAACCCAATGTACCAGAAAATACCGCTCTTTTTTTTTTTTTTGCACGACCAAAGCTACTTTATAACAAAGTCAGATGTTATAATTGGCCCCAAAAAAAAGATTTGAATATGAAATTTAAAAAATAAAAGAAAAGAAAACGATGGATGTGGAGACAGTTGTTAAAATGAAGCTTGGTCAATGGAATGAGCCCTTAGGACTCGCGCGCGGGTTGAAGAAGAACCATGATGATAATGATTGCAACATGTGACCCCTTCCCATATCCCCCCCTTCAATTCTCTAAACGTTTTTTATTATTCTTATTTACCAAAAAAAACCTTAGAAATTAAAAAAAAAATAAGAAATTTACTAAATGTTAACTTTAATTACGTGGAAAGCAATTTGTAAAATTTGACACAAGTGAAATTACGACAAATCACATCATCGTACTGTGTCACTTGAAATGTTTTTTTTTTTTCCAAATAACTTAGCAATCTGAGCTTCAAATCATTTTGGATACTAACTTTCATTGGATCATTTTTTTATATTTTAAATTTACGACCATAAATTATCTTCTAAAAGTTTTAAATTAGTTGTTAATAGAACGATATCATATGTTGGTGAGTTCAAAGTCATTCATTATGATCAATTAAAAAAAAATTAATCGAACTCAAACAGCCATTCATAATGATTAGAGAGCTTTAATTGTTCTCCATATTTTAATCTATTTAAAATTTATGAAGCCCCATTAACCTCGTATTTAATATATATATATATAGCTTGTTTGACAAACTGATTTCAATTATTTGTGACATATGATTAGTTTTGCTTCTTAATTATCCGTTTGACAATCGTTCATTAAACAGCAATTAATGCTCAGTTTCCACCAATTATGGCTCATGTCTGCAATAAGAGAATTCGATATAAATTTATTGTATTATCATCAAATGTGTCACAGCTAACAATAGATGGATTATAATTATCATTTTGTCTTGACAATCTATCTAGAGTATTTATTTTTAATATTTTTGAGTTAAATTTTTTTCTATTTTGTAAAATTATATCTATCTATTTTTTACATTTAATTTTTGTTTGATTCAATTTTTATATTTAAATTTTTCTATAAAAAAATATTTGTTATTTCAAAAATTGTTGTAAGTGGATTCAACTTTTTTTTATATTTAATTCAGTTTGGTTAATTTAGTTTTAAGACTCATATATAAAGAATTATTGTATCATATCAATTTGAAATTAGTTTCTAACATAATTATATATTGTTCAATTTGATTCAATTTACGTCGAAATGTCGCGTTAGTTGCGTACATTTCATGATAAAAAAAACCCCATCGGTACATGGAATCCGAAGTCTGCATCGTCACGTGATATTAAAGAGCATGTTCAATATCTTAGACCGGTTTTGTAGGATTGCTAACCGGGCTGGTCCGACCGGTTTGGCCCATCCCACAAATTCATTGAACCGAGTATTTCAAGAGTTGGGCTTAGTTTAAGAAACAAATGGGTTTAGATTTTTAGCAAGTTTAATTTGGTTCATTGGGTTTAAACTTGAAAGGTGAGTGGACCGTGCCCAAAAATGCTACATATATATAATTTTTTTAATAAGTATTAGAGATCTTTTGTATTTTTTAAATAATTAAAATCAATTCGCTGAATTTTAATAAATACAAAGAGTATTTTTATTTTTTTGATGAATATTTTATAATTATATTAAATATTGTGGGTGCTTGAACATGAAAATGCTAAAACTAAATTCGAATCTTATTTACAAGCAATCTCATTTTAGGAATTTGAACTCAAATTCGTTCGAATTTCTCATAACTAAATTTTAAAATACCAATCTCTGGATCTGATTAGATATAAAATAAATAAATAATTTCGCCTATATAATTTTCCATAGGATAGAAACATTTTCAAATTCACGACCAAAATGATTGTTTTAGTTATTGTTTTAAATTGTTTTTTCTTCTCGAGAAAATGATACGTCTATATATTCATCTTTAAAAAGTTTTTTATTTTCTCTAAAATTTAAATATAATTTTCTGGTTGATTTTAAAAGCTTACAAAGGTAGAACTAACGACATAATACAGAAATTGAAGGTTTCGAAAGATTAAAATTGTATTTAACTCCTATCAAATAATGTTTTCTAAGACAGTTATTCACTCCTATTTTAGTGATATTATTATTTATCTAGATTTCGAATATTCCTATAACTTTTAATTAAACTGTCAACAATTATTTTTTATCGTTTAGCTTCAAATCTCAAAACAAATATCATGGGACCGATTGCTGGACCAGAAATATTCTCTGCCTATATTTTTTTATTTGTCCTTGGTTTTTTAAAGGAGTGCGGTTAGGGTACGATTTTTCAAAACTGGATCGAATCGAAAAATGTAGTATCGTTTTTGTATCGAACAGTTCAAAATTTTTGAATGCTAATTTTTTTTTATAAAACCGAATTTTTTGGATCCAAACCAAACCGAACCAAAAATCGAAATTAAATATGATATAATAACCGATTGATACATATTTTTGTAGAACCGAATCATTTTCAAACCGAATACCGAAACGGTCTCCTTAATTTTTTTCCTAAGAAAAAAATTGTTGTTCTAGATTTTAAAAAGAACTTTGAAAATAACTCATATTTGTTAACGAATTCGAACATTAATCACATACATCGGTACCTTTTATGTAATTAATTTAACATTTAAGCATGATTTTGGCTTTGTATTAAATGTTAATTTAACTGCATTTATTAATAGCTGGACTAACTGCCACAACTCTGTCTATTTTCCATGCCGAAGGAGACTCGTTTATCAAATCTTTGTTCCAACACCCATGGATTTTTTTAATGGAATTTATGTACGGATTTAACTAAAAAAGAAAAAAGAAAACTTTTTTTTTTTAAAAAAAAAAACTAAATGTACAAACATGTACAAACTATATATAATGGGGTGGTGAAGTAATACTTCAGAAGTATATTGCATGGAAAGGGTGGGGGTCACATGGGGTTCAGAGTAGCCTGTTGTTTGGGCCCTCGAACAAAAACACCATCATGCATGCCTAACTCTTGTATATGTGTATATATATATGTGCGTGTGTGTGTATGTATGTATATACGTGTATATATATACCCTTGTGTGTTTACTATATATAATTCCGAGCAATATATATCTTATTTATTGACATATTTTACAGATATGTAATCATGCCTCTCCACTTACATGGCCGTCCACTTAGTCTCTCTTTTTTTTTTTTTGCCATTTCTATTGAATCTAATTTCGTATTTTTTTCCCCTTTTAATTACTCAAACCCATCATGTGTCCGTTATTTAAGTAGATATATAGCTTTGATTTTCCTCGGCATGAGTATATCAAAACCTAATATCGTATAGTTTTGATCAAAGATATTAAGAAATATAGAATATTTTCCCTTTTACATGTGTATATGATGAATTACTAATGAACTGAAAATGTATGGTAAAATACAAAGATTATTTAGCCAATCTTGTTCAAATATATCGACATGTCCCCTTTTAATTATATGTAGTTTTCAATTTGTTTGAATTATTTTCTATGAAAAAATTATTTGATACTTTTTTTAAATAGTAATTCCATTTTCAAATCATCACATAATGATGATCTTGTTTTTTCAAAAAAAGACAGATTTATATATGGAAAAATGTAATTTAAAAGAAAAATTTAGAAGAAGTAATAAAGCTAAATAATAAGAAATCGAGTAAAAAAAAGGGCATCCAATTAGGGCTAAAAAGGAACTTTTTATATGATAATTATTATTAAAAAGAAATTAAAAAAAAAACTTTGGCTGTCATGTTTGTCCTCGAAACATGCTCTTTGAAAAGCGATTAGCTGGATCGATCGCCTCCTTTGATCCTTTTTCCCGCATACATTCCGTCCTTATAAAGTCAATAAAATCCACATATATATATATATATATATATACACACGCTCTCCAAGTTTTCAGCATTAATATTGTTTATTTAATTTTGTGTAAATAAGATAAAAACATATACTCCCTCCGTTTCAAAATAATTGTTGTTTTAGAGTATTTCACATTTTTTAAGAAAAGACAGAAAAAGTCACATATACCCTTATTTAATGATAAAAACAATGTTACCATTAATAATTTATTAGAATTTAATAGGGATAAAATTGGAAACTATTATAAAAAAATGTCTTGAAAACGTAAAATGACAAATATTTTGAAACATGGAAAATAACCTAAAACTACAAATATTTTGAAACGGAGGGAGTATTTTACCAAAAAAAAGATAAAAAAACACACATATATATAGATGCATATACAATTTTATACAAATTTTTTATTCTATTGGACTGACAGCGAGTCCATCATCTCTTATACCCGAAAACTTCCAAACAAAGAGAATTAATGGAAATTAAAATTTGCAAAAGAATAATTTTCGTCTCTCTCCTCCCTCTCATAGACCTACATATATAAATATATATATATAATATAATAAATACATAAATAGCCCTTATCTTCTTCATGGGAATGATATCCTCTCCATACAACCATGCTTCTTCTCATATATAGATCACATCATCTCCTCTCCCTGGTATAACCCTTCTTGCTTCTCATCAGTACTTGTAATAACAATTCCTCTATATGGCATCATCATCATCATCATCATCGTCGTCATCAAAATTCACAAAGAAACCCATCATGGTTAATATAATTAACTATGGTTCCTCTTGAAACCCCATCTCTCTTCTTCACTCAAAGCGGCGGCGGCGGCGGCTTAATGGCCAGAATAAACAATCACGACCGTTCATCAGATTCCTCCACCGGAGATCTCCACTCGGTTTCCGATCCAACGGCTGATATTAACGGTACTAACCCTAGTAGCAATAACAATAATATTTCAGCGGCGGTTCGTACTCATCAAGAAGATTCAAGAACTAAGAAAGAAGATGGCGGAGTTGCTGTCTGTAATAACACGAAAACGCTAGCCACTGATCATGAGAAAGAAGATCAGAAAGATTGGCTCCGGTTAGGTATTGGTTCGGACACAGCGAAGCTCCGAGGTTGTACTGGTAATAATAATAATAACGGCCGTGATCCGGCGGCGGAGGAAGTGCGATCAGATCAAGGGTTGTTAGGGCTTAGTTTGTTCTCCTCATCTGCGACGGCGGCGGAGGCGGCAGATGTGGGTACGAGTCGTGTATTCCACGCGCCACCTCCTCACCCGAACCATCGATCGATGGTGACACGTGGTGAATCGTTTTATTACCACCAGCGAATGTTTCGGCCTCCGCCATTAACGTTGCATCACTACCCTTCATTTCTTTCTTCGCCGGGGATGCCGATGACGGGGCGGAATAATTTTGGACCGTCGTTAGGGGTTAATACTATCATTAATAGAGCAAGTTCGGATCTTAGGGTTGGGTGTCCACCGCGGAGACCATGTTCTGGTATTTGGTTTGTTCTTCGAGCTTCACAGATTCAGTAAGTTCTTGAATACTTTCTTATATATATATATATATATATAAATTTGTGTGTATATACTTTTTCTTCCTTTACTGACGTATGTATAGCTCTGATTTTGAATTGAGATTTGATTTATGAAGGGTTTGTTTTTTGGTCAACGCAGGGCGAAAGAACCGTTCTTGCCCCAAGTAAACAAAAGCTACTTGAGAATCAAGTAAGTAACCATTTCCATGTTCTCAATTATCTTTTTTTTTTGTTACGTTTATATTATTTGTTGTAAGCATTTCTGCGAAATCGTTCGTCGTGGCATTTCATATTCATGAATAATCTTTTTTTTTTTTTTTGTAAAAGGGATGGGAGTGTCACAGTTAGGTTGCTAATCAAGTATCTAATGAACAAGCTGCAGCTTGATAGTGAATCAGAGGTAACTTTCTAATCCAAACTCTTTTTTTTTTTTTTTGCTTTTAAATTTTGTTTTTGAATGGATTTAATTAGGATTATTAAAATTATATTCGAGGACAAGGGTTAGGTTGAAAATAACATCGGAACTAGATGCATTCAACCCATAGTGAGTTAGGTCACAAGTGTTTGATAAATTAGTGTAGTTATAATTATTGATATCATGTTTTATACCCTAAACGAACTCGGTAAGAGATCTAACATAGGAATTTTCCAACTATATGATCCTCTCAAAATCAGAATATACTTCACAATCTTCCTACTACAGAAAAAAAAACATATATATCTTATAAACTCAGTAACCTATGATAATTTCGGGGTTGTGCGGAAAGATCTGATTTTGAATATACATCCCCTTTCCAAATTTTAGATCCAAATTTGGGACAAAAAATATGTTTTGCGACCCGTTTCACCGATTGAACTATCAAAATTTGGGTTTAACAATATCAAAATTTGGGTTTAACAATATTACTCACTCAAAAGCATATTAATTTTTTTTTTAAACTAGTGTTTGAGTTAATCAAAGAAACATTCCAATGGCAGTGAATATCCACTCTTGTCGTTGCTTTGACCGGTCTCTATGCATGTCCTAATTTAGGTGCAATGTCCAAAACACATTTATTATGATTAAGGCTTTGGATTGAATCCACATGTATAATTTGGACTTTATAGCTACTCACTACATTATAATTACTGTAATTATAATTATTATAATTCTTTGGGAAATTGAACTTGAAAAGCCTTTTCATTCGAGTTATGCCTTAATTATTTCTAATAAATTTCGAAAACAACGTTTTTGGGTCATCAGGCATGCTTGCCTCGAAAGTAGCAGAGACCGCAAAAAGAATTATCTCAAATCAACCCCCAAAAGATTTCATGTGTATGTGTACGTATGCTATAGTAAAATATATTTTAAATTAAATATTGTATATATACAACAACCTAAGTATTTGCATGTTCCTATGAACCGTGGGCATGAAAACCTAACTCTAATGCTCGGAAATAATATGCAAAGCCACAAACTATGTTGCTTTTTACGACCCCTTAATCAATCTAAACCCTAAATTATATGTATTATTTAAAAATTAATTATGTTATTATTTTTACAATGATACCTACGACTCTTCAATTATGTGTATCCGTCCATGAGTGCGTGCCGTGTATATACATATACACACACACATATATACAAACCAACACATATATACAACTAAATCCATATTTCCTCTAAGGCTTACACTTTCAAATATCACATTCTCTAGAATATGCTTTGTTCACTCTCCCAAATAATAATTCATTTTAGATTTACAAATTGTGCCATTTAATATAACCTTATGATCGTGAATAGATTTTTCCTTCACTTAATCTTTTCTCATTTAGACCTCATCTCGATCAAACTATTGGAAATACTTAGTTTTTTTGTAAAATAAGATATTTTTTAATTATATATGGGTTGATTTCCTGGATCTTAATTCTAAAAAATAGCATCCCACGCATTTCGTTTAGAATCTCTCTAAGATATTAAAACTTTTAAATGATATCTCTCTTTCTAAGTCCAAGGGATATATATATATATAACAAAATTTAGAAAAATACATTAACTACGAGTCTCTACACATACACAAATACAACCTCAATATTAAAACGATGCACCATCTTATATACTTATGTTGATGTATATAAGTATATATATGTATGTATGTAGTGAAGGAAAATATTTTTACACGTGGCTCCGGTAGAGGTAGCTATAACGGTAATCTCATCCAATTTTTTTACAAGGAAGGTAAATAAATTAGAAAGTGTTCCAAATATAAAGCATTCTCTCTACCAAAAAAAAATAATTAAATAAAGCATTCGCATCGTATTATAATATCGCGAAGGTAGGTACCTACAAAATATAAGGAGTATGTGGCTTAAGAATATTTGTTTTCGAGTGCATGCATGGGGCCAAAGTGGTTTTATTATATGGAAAAATTAAGACCATATCCTTTAACAAAAAAAAAGAAAAGAAAGAGCGCATCACTGTAGAATATTTTCAGAGAGATATCCACTTTCATTGGATTTTTATATGGATTATTATAAATATCTCCAATAAACAACTCAAAAACCTGTTATTTATAAATTTTATACGTTTACATATTGAAATATTAAATTTTTATTTTATATTCGTAGAATTATCTTCTAACGATTCTGTATACATTTTACTTTTCTTTTCTTTTTAATCTCAATTATATTAGAAACATTTCTTCTATAAATCCTAATACTATTTTTTGCTAGATTTAATTAGTAATAACACAGCCAATCATATACATTACATCGGTATAAATAATTATTTGTAAATTATTAAACGCATAATTATATAGCTAACCATTTGTCACGTCACGTTGATGCCATGCTAAGGTCAGCTTTTTTATGCTATTTAATTTTATTTAAAAATTAAACGTCCCATCAAAAAATGTTTAAGTGGTGCACTTTGACGGAATTTAATTTTGGAAGACCTTATCATATATCTTCACCAACCAATCACGTTAAATTGGAGTAAAATAAAATTTTACTTTATAAAATAAAACTAAGGGTTACGGACTTTAACGTTGGAGGAAAGACGTACATGTTATACAGTTCAACAGCAGAATATATCACGTCTGTGTAAGCCATGCAGATGTAAAATTGCATGATTGGTGGCACATTTATGAATCGTACACACATGCATATCGAATCTTATTTTCTGTTAATGTCAAGAATATATGCGGTCTTTAACAAAAAAAAAAAAAGAATATATGCGGAATAAAACCTTATTGTGTTATTCATAAACAAAGAGTTTAAATCCTACTAATAAACTACAAACGAAAACTATATCTATAACACATCATGATAAAATATCAGAAATCCGTATATATCATCAAATAATTAATTATATAATTTTTAAGTTATTCATATGAAAAATTCACTTTATAATCTTTATAAAAAAAATTCACTTTATAAAGTATTATTTTTTGTTGAATCTTTATCAAGGGTTTTGTGTTTATCTAACGAAATTTTGAAATCATAGTCAGGGACGAATATAAAAGAATTTACTATTAAAACACTAATAAAACAATAGAAAATAAAGACTAATTTAATTTTATTGGAATACAGAAATAAAAATAATATCCTTTTTATTAATTTTATGTTAATTTAATTTAAATAATTAATAATAATAATAACATTCTTAGTTATATTGAGATAAGTTGAAACCAATATCAATCTAGATTCACAATAGGGGTCGAAATAAATTATTTCTTCAAAGAAATAAACTAGTTACACAATTATTTCCGTAAGATTTTTATTGGATTTCAATTTTATATTTTTTTTTTAAAAAGAGAGAAATGGAAAAAGGAAATGGGGCCTATGTCACGCCGGCCCTGTTGGGTAATAACTTGTCGCAAAGAAGACATAAAATGCATGTAATAAAAAGCGATTTGGTTTTTGTCAACATGGAAAAGAAATTGAAAAGATTCTCGATAATACTAATGGATGAAAGAATGGATGAATTATTTAAAAATATTATAAATTTTTTGTAGGGACAAAGTGTCAAAACCATAGTAGGAAAAGTGAGCTTTGTATAAGTAAGATGGACGTTACATGCGGGAAAAGTGAGCATTTTTAAAACTAGTAATTTAATTAATCAAACCAAATATTCAAATCTGAAAATACAAAAATATTGTCTACGTGATTAACGTAAATTTCCATCATCAACCATTTGTAATATCATTAGGGTAATTAGTACACATTAAGATTATGACCATATATGTATATATACAATACCCTTTTACGAGTAAACATGCATGCATGATATGAAGATGAATATATATGTACTTGTGTACATATCTATTTAAATATGAATTCCGATTACGTGAAGGCTAATATTAACTTAATATTCTAATAGGATAGGCACATGTACAAGTGTTGACGTTTCCTCTAAGAAATTTCTAAATGTGTAGTTTTTTTTTTGTTAGTCAATGTTAAGATGGTATAACATATATATATATATATATATATATATATATATATATATGTGTGTGTGTGTGTGTGTGAATGTATATGCATATATGTTTATGTACTAAATCATAGAGTTTTGACAATTGTTTTTAATGGATGAATAATGGAAACAGATAGAGATAAGATGCAGAGGGCAACGATTATTGCCGATCTTGACTATTCAACATGTAAGAGATACAATATGGAGACCATCATCATCATCACCATCATCATCATCATCATCATCACCCTCCTCTTTCACTTTGCTTCCCGAATCAACTACTGATCACGTCATGATCTTGCATTATGGCAGGAGTCCTTGATTATTCACACTTTTTGATCCACCATGGAGATTCAGAATATATACCCTCAAGAGAAAAAAACAACAAAAGAAAAAAAAATATATGAATCAATGTATATCTATGATCTCATTATTAAGTTATTGATCGAGTTCATCCATCTTTTGTTTTCTTCTCAAAAGCTCTCTTTTCATATCAATTCTTATCATTATTACTAAAATAGTTGTGCTTGTTTCTGTGCCTTTTATATATATATATATACCCAAATGAATTTCGGGAAAAAAAAAAGATAAAAACTGAATCCTCTATTGTTCTTTAGTGAATATTTTATATTTTTGTAACTCGAAATATAAAAGACTTAATATCCTATTCTAAACAAATTAACTGATACGTTGTCTCCTATAATAGAGATTAACGCCCATTAATCATTAATTTACAGATGACTGAATTTAGATTTTGATGTCATACTAAAGGGCGAAAATGGTGGAAAAGGATGATAAAACAAGCAAGACAGAGAAAATTGAAAGAAAAAAAACTTAATTTATTTCATTATACACAAAAATTCATTTTTACCTCCATAAACGTAAGATTACGGGATGCTAATATTTGTTACAAGGGCTCATGGAATCCATTAGTAGTGCTAATTACCTATTAAGTGTTGTAAAAAAAAAACTCGCATGTCAGTGATGTCACGACTGGAAAAAAAATGCCACGTGTTAGATGCATAATGGGTTGCATTGGAATGTTAGCTGGGCCGATATTCTTTATTGGGCCTTGTGGATACACTAAAGACCCTCTCCTTGATCCAGAGGATTTTCTCTATCGTCTTCTTCGCCGGTTGGTCAGTGAAACCTCTTGAGATCCCGACAACTTCGATCTCTATGTCGTGAAGATCTTATAAAAGCTTCTTCAATGGCGTCTGATTCAGATCTCTTTATACATTCCGTGTTTCAGATTTTCTAGGAATAGAAACGGATTAGGTATTAACATTAAAAAAAAAAACGGTATGTTTCCTGTTCGAATCCCACGTATGAAACATGCCCCAAGAATTACCAAAAGGAAATTGAAAAATGAAAAACCCATCTCATGGTTTTCGTAATATAACAATGGAGTATAAATACAAAATAAAATCCTATATATCTGCAGCCTTTATCCTTGTATATGAGTGTATGGACCCCTCTACAATGGCATAAATGTTTCTACAATGGAGAAGAAGAAAGGATAGATGCTGAGGAAATGGCCAAAAAAAGTCTGAATCTTTACGCGAATTCCCGACTTTTTTCCGAACAATTCGCTTTATCTACAACCTTGGGTACGTACCCTTCTCCTACAACTTGTCTGCGATTCTGCCGAGAGCATCAGCCAGCTTGTTGAGGACAGCAACTAAGCTATCTCCAAAGTCTTTCCGTTGTTCCCTGTCTTGTCTTAAGTTCGAGTTCTGAGCCTCGAGCTGTGTTGCCAACATTTTACCGCTTCTTTCTAACACGTCTATTAGCTGATGCTGCATACTGTTTGCTTCTTCCTCTTCTTCTTGTTTGTCGGGTTCTTCTTGCCTTTTTCGCTTTCTCTGCTCTTGAGATGTTGAATCGGCTTCTGCGTTCTTTTCCGGGCGTCTCTCGTTCGTTTTACCTGCAATGTCCAAATGATTCCAAACGATTCTCGTTGAATTTGGAAGAGAAGGCAAGAGGAAGATTTCCGCACTTAAAAGGAAACGTTCCATATGCAGATACTACTAAGCCGATCATCGAGAAAAGAACGGTTTGACATTGTTAAACCCATATTTTTTCGCTGTCGTGAAAGTTATGAAAGAAAACTGAGTTGAGTAAACTAATGAAACGTCTATGGCGGAACACTTTCACGCAGATATTTCTTTCTTGTTCGGATCAAATGGGACAGTAAGTGTCTTTTTTTCCAATCATTTGCAAACTGAGTGGAAACATGGTATACCCTTCATGAGAGCAGCTTACAAACATTTGGTTCCGACAACAGAGATGAGAACAAAACCAGAAAACTGTAGTTTAATTCTTTGCGAAATCACAAGCATGTTTGATCAAAATCAAACCGAAATGTAATGGCAAAGACAGAGACTTTCCCACTTGCAACAACTTTGGAATTCGATGGCATTTGAGTATCATAGAACAGAACAGAGAAGAACAAAACCTTTACCTGCTCCTGAAGCTGCTTGGTAGTCCTTCTCTGCAATGGTTTTTTTGGCAAAAGAAGTCATCAGAATTTGAGTTATTGCATATGAACTGTTTCCTGTCCTCTTCAGACAAAACCCAAGAACAGAACATCGATAACCATTGTTAGAACAATTGGGTTGTTCTTGAAATTTACCCGAAACCGATAGAGGCACCGCCGTCGGAATCGCCTTCGCCGGCTCCTCCTGCTCGACGAAATCAGAGAACAAACCTTCCTCCGCCGCGGTGCTCCGACCACTGTCGAATACCGGCTCTGATTTCTCCACCGACGTCGACGCCGGAGCTAGGGCAAGAACCAGAGCCGCCTCCACCGCCACCGCCGGAGGGATTGCGCCGCCGTCGAGGATGTCGTAGACCTCCTTGTCGAAAAACCCAGGAAGCTTCCTCTCCCTCCTGAGATCGTTCCTCATCACCCAGAACGATTCCGTCTCGTCCTTAATCTGGGACTCCCACTCCTTGATCTTCTTGAAATCGCCGGCGAGATTGCTCCATCTTTTCCGGCATTGTACGGGCCCGCGATTCACGCCGTGACGCTTGCAGTACGAAGAGACAGATGCCCACTTCGGCTCCACTTGACCCGGCGACCCCAATCCCATGCCCGACCCGACAGCACGACCACGTCGAACTCTGTTCTCGGCCACTCTCTTCCCCTGTATCAGCACTAGGATCTCCTGTCTTGTCCACCGAGGAAGTCTCGCCGTCTTAATGCCGTCATCTCCTCCGCCGCTTCCGCCGTCATTCTTCGCCGACACACGGCTCTCTCCTCTTCCGCCGCCGCCGGCCACATAGATGACGCCGTTAGCGTCGCCGTCAACGGCGCTCGTACCTAAGCTCAGCTGTTCCTGAGCCATTGAAGCGAAAAAATAAAGTATTTTTTTATTTCTCTCCGTAACGGCGTTAGAACGTAACGGCGTTTTGGTGAGAAGGCCCGTTACGGCGTCTCTCTTAATCCTCAGCTCCGTAGAAGAAAGAGAGAGAGAGGGGGAAAGGAAAAATGTAAGAGAATGATTTGTGAGATTATTATGTTTTTTTTACTGGGTAATACTGTAGATGTATTGACCCTTAACAAAGGGATGATTATTACTTTAATTGTGCGATTAGCGCATAATCAATGTGAATTATAATCTATAAATCCCTCAGTCTAAATGGGGATTTCTTACTTGGAATAGGGTTTGCTTTCTGATTTTGGATTGTCACATCATCTCCCACGAACAAAATCGATCTCTATATACATCAATAAAATTATTTTGTTAATTTTATATACTGATTTCGAAATAGTTTTGTATTATTTTCTTTATAAAAATATTTTGTTAATTTTACATTTATTGTTCTCTCTCTCCAATATATTTTGTGTCGTATAAAATATTTTTTTCACAAAATGTCTCATTTTATAAAGGCAAAGGATTAACTAAACTCTTTTCTTTTCTTTTATTTTATGGATCTCCCCACCATATTCAACACACTTTAATTAATAAAAAAATAATATATATATATACACATATATGTTTTATAAATTTAATAATAATTAACATAGGAAAATCACTGAATAGTTATCTTTTTTATAAGACGAGGGCCTCATAATTATGATTATCCCTCATAATTTATATATACTTAGAAATTAAATCTGATGTTGAATTTGATCCAAGGGTATACATAAAACACAAAAATCTAAATTTGAATTTGATTTACAAATGAACTCCAAATATCGGTAAAAGATATAATTCTGAATCCAAAATGAGAAAACCCTCCTGTTTATTCATTTCAGGAGTCATATAGAATCTTATGGAATGTTTTCTGATAAATAAAAGCAGTATTATAAATTTCTAACCAAAATATTTATAACATTCTTGTTTAATAATTTTGTAGGGCTAAATATTTATTTTGTATATAGTTAGAGATTTGAATATATATATATATATATGCGTGTGTGTGTGTTTGTTTGTTTTCTTGTGACCTAAAATAATAGGGTAAATTGTCCATAATTGGATTTGTATATTTGTTTTACTTTCTCATGTAAAAAATGGTAAAATATAGGTTAAAAAAAGCCACTTTAAAAAGATTCACGAAAGTTTAATCGAAACAAAATCTAATTGGCAGCGCTGGTTATAACTTTTACATGCATGTAGTTTACATATATAGGCAGTGAAAATATTGATGATGGAAATTTAATTAGTATGGTGATCAAATATATATTATATTTTTTTGGATCATATAATATATGTTCGAATTAAGCTGTCAATCTGACTTAATCCCAATAAAAATCTATATTTAATCGTACTTAAAATATCCCAATATGAGATCAGAGACAGAGAGAGGAATCATGAGAAAGGTTTGGCGATATGTTTGAGAATAACAAAACACGTTATAAACGTATATAAAACTACACAACAAAAATAATTTACTATATTGAATTTTAATATTTTATATATATATATATATATATATCCAAATTTATATTTTAATAATTACACTCGGTAAGGCAGTCCAATACTTGCGTTAAACACAACGATAGAGGAAACTAATTGTTGAAGATAGCATGATAAAACTTTCATGTTAATTATAATTAATAGATAATTATTATTGATTAAGGGGAAGGAGCCCTTAAAAAGCCCTAAAGGGCATTTAATTAATTGTGCCCCCACACCATCACTAACTCAAAATAATTTCCGACGGCTTTTGATTTTTCCCCTTATTTATCATCACTCAAAAGTCTTATCTCTAAGTTATAAAATTTAATCATTTGTTATTGTTTTCTAATCCTTAATTAATGGCTAATGGTTGATTATGCATGCATGGACCCTGCCCCCTCCTTAAAAGCCACTTTTTATTTCATCCGTATACGTCTACCCGTCTATTCCCTATGCATATATGACCCTTCTCATCTTTTGTTTCTTTTTATTAAAATTCATAATTTCAATATATATATATATATATATGGAAACAGATAGAGATAAGATGCAGAGGGCAACGATTATTGCCGATCTTGACTATTCAACATGTAAGAGATACAATATGGAGACCATCATCATCATCACCATCATCATCATCATAAATCGGCTCTACATAATCAAATCGATGATTACACGACTTATTTGATATCAAATTATATATTCTTATTAAAATTTTATAATTTCAAAATATATATTTCTAAACATTTATTTGTATTGATCAATCAATAAATGCAATAGACTCTACAAGAATCGTGTTGAATATAGTATAAGTAATAGGCAAATAATATTATATATTTGTTTAGGTTAGGACATAATTAAATAACTACTATTAGTGGTTTCCCTCGTGTCTAGGTCTATGTCTATATCCTTTTTTCTTTGATACGATGCCTTTGATACGACTTATTATATAACCGAAATATATACTTTTTATTTGCTAGATTTTACAAACTATAAGGACGTTTGATTTCATTTAAAGGGTTGCTTTCAATATGTTTAGTTAAGAAAACATTTATGTCATATTTTAGTTTCTAAACTCAAATCTCCAATTTATTTTTTAATAATAGCTTATAATTTTTGTTATGTTTAAGTTCGTTTATTTTTCATTTTTTATTTTTTTATAAAATATATTTATTCAATTTTTATATGAATTTTAAGATATGTTCAGATTTAACTTTTAAAAAAGATAATTTTAATCGTAATTTTATATTCAATTTAGATTTAGTTAATTTAATTTTCAAAAATCATATTCAATTACATCTTAATTTTGATTCAATTGGGTTACAAAATGCAAGGAAATACCAATTCTGCGTTAAACTTATTTCCTTATGGTATTTTCTTTATAAAAAAAAATTACTATATATCACATATATTATTAAAATATCCAAAATTATATCCCAATATGTCACGAACCAAGTTTTTAATTCATGATCATTCATCTATAAATTTTGAATGTTTAAATTTTAGGTATCCAAAAAATATTTTCGGATATTTACAGATCTTGAAAATCTAAATTTATAAAAAAGGTTAAGAGTAATTTTGTAAATTATAATTAAATTTTTAAATTTTAAAAATTAAGAATAATTTCATCAATTTTTGAACACTTATAAAAAAATCATCTTATTTTTACAAATCCGAGGTCTCGTTACTTTTATACCTCTACCTTACTAGTTTATTAGGCACATACCTCTGCAGTGGTATACACCCGTGAATAAATAAAAAAAATCATTGCAAAACAATTTTTTTTATATGATTGGTTAAAATAAATTCCATCTACTAAAACACTTGGAATTCAAATAACGATAATCCATATAACATTTATCTAAAATAAATATAAATTAGATGGAAAATAATATGTGTATATATATATATATATAGTTATATACACAAATAGTATTTAAATAAATGGAAGGCAAGGGAAGAAGGAAAAAGAAAAAAGAGACAGAGAGAGAAAGGTGAGGAAAGAGTCAAGAATGGGGTTAGTACGACGTCGCATTCACTCCTTTGTTTTGTTTCACGTGTGCCCTTCCGTCCTCCCTTGTGGCTATTTATTTGTTCTGCCTCTTGTCCTTTTTTTGCTAGGCTAAAATTTCATTTCATTTTTTATTTTAAAATTTATTTTTTTTCCGTCATCTTGCATTAGGATACCCTAAAATTTGAAAAGAACTACATTTTACTTCATTTTCTTGGTAAAAAGACACAGACATTTTAGTGCAAATTTCAATATGGGATTGATTAATGCTTTATAAATAAATAACCTATAATTACGGATTTCTAATTTGAATTATTATGGCTACTATTTGGTTTGTGAAATAAGAGTGTCATTTTGGCTTATATAAGATAACTGTCCATTGATCGCTTAATTTAATCTTAAAAAAAATCGTATCAATCCGATTTAAAATGTCGTTCGCTTCCAATACAACAATATATATTCGGTCCGATTTTGCATATGCGAACCGATATACCTACGTACCAACCACAAAATTGAACCCAATCAGGTTTAATCGAACCGAGCTAAAGTTAGTATGCTTTCCGTTTGGTTCGATTCTTCTTAACCAGAATTAACCGAAATTAAAGTAAATAGAACCAAATACCCCCGTTAAAAAAAAAATTCCCACAAATTAAAATTTTATTTTACTAAAAAATAAATAAATCTGAGCTTTACTCCAAATCGAAATAGAAAATAAAAAAAAAATCTCAGCTTTACTCACTGCATTTCCATTCCCAAAATCTCTGATTTCGCTTAGACCCAAATGCCCAAAATCAAGGTTCACCAAAGCAAGTCCATAGGATCAAATCAAGAAGAATGCATTCACTGAAAGTTGTGAGCAAATTGAATCCTAGAGAGTGTGTAGGAGAATGATGTCATGCAATCCTTCAACCCTGAAAATGTTACCTTTGTTTCTCCCCACATGTACTCTCATATTAACAAAGTTTTTCCAAACTCATCACACATGGGGATGGGGGTGCTTCCTGCAACATAGACGAGATAGGGACAAGGAGGGTCACATTTTCCATGTATTTTAACAGCTTTTTAGCACATGAATCTTTCCCATGCAAAATAACTTACCATCACTTTGGGTAGAGGATGTCATAGTGGCCCGGACGGTACAGGAAGGTGATGAAGGGGGTGACCGTCGTCTCTGCTTTCTCGTTCGCACCGAGAGGAATGAAGTCATGATGATTAACAGTGAGGCTTCCACTGTCACAGGAGCTGCGGTCGAGGTAGACTACTCGGATTGGAACCCCGAGTGCATCCGACAGGGCGGTAATGTGGATATGGTCACTCTCCTCCCCCATTGGTTCCACTGATGACTTGCAAAACTATGCAAAAAACCCCCATTTGCTAAAACTATAAGAAACAGAAATAAAACTTGCCAAAAGCTTTAACTACAAAGGCTTTACATCTTTTGCCGGCAATCAGTTTAGACAGAGACTTTTAGTTTATTTGCCAATGCATTTAGACATAACATTTAGTTTATTTCGGTGTCCCAAGTTCCACATTGATATATTATCTGTTTCAGCAGAGATTACGGGAATATATAAGAGTGAAGCGAAGTTTCAGATTCAATCATGGAAATAGCAAGAAGATATGTTGACCTCTTTCTGTACTATGCACGAACCTGGTCAACTGTAGTGTTCGATAATCCCACTATGAAGGGCTCAAAAAATTCTGCACGCTTTCGTATTTCACCAGCAGTAACAAATCTGAAAAACATAACAACTAAGAAACCCGAACGGTCAAAAATATTCACTCGATCAAAATCGAAATGGACACAGAATTCTAGAGCAACTTACTATAGTCGGATACTGACTGATCTCTACTTCTGTTTACGAGTTCGTCATGGCTGAAAAAGGAAAAAATCAGAAGGAAGGGATACTGTTAGTGAAAACACTTGCGACCTTGTGGATTCAGAACTTATCCACAAAAAATCTGCCAAATGGAATCAATTAAGGTGAAACCATCCATTAATATAACACAGTCAAGAAACACAGTGCCGTACTTTATAGACTCCTCACTCCCTTGGAGAATGCTATCAAGTTGCTCGAGGAACAACTGGACAACCAAAACATGAAAACAAGTTTAGATAACAGCGACACCTTAAAACACATCAAATCAAACCATCAAAGAAATGAAGAAAATAAAATTTCAAAACTGCAAAGATTATCATTTTCAATACAACCCTAACTCCAATGAATAAGTACACAAAAACACTCAGTGTCCAATTCACAACGGGACAATGCAGAAGGAATGTGATAAAAATGTCATTGAGGGTGATTTCCGGAGAGGATCCACTTACAGGGCTGATGGTATTAACAACATATAGAATTGGACAATGAATGCCACTTACCGCAAAGAAGTCTTCAAATGTGAAATCAGTATAACCTAAGCTCTGGAGTGTTTTTCTACATTCCTCAACATTAAGCTTGATACGGTCAACTTCTGCACGATCTTGGGTTTCAAGAACATGCTCCTATGAGTAAAGGGAGAATAATTGGTTAATGATAACATTCAGGCCTAGCTAAAAGAGCAAGATTAAGAGTCATGAACAGATAAAGAACAACTGGATTTCAAAAAGACATTGCGAGAACATACAAGGTAAGAGAACATAAAACTTCGGAAGAAGCAATTCCCATCCCCTCGAGTTCGCCTGATGGCGGCATATTGACTGCCTAGTATCTACAAAATATTGAGGATAAGATAACAACCTTATCAAAAGGAGACTGAAAGAAAGGAAGGAAAGGCATGAAAAGAAATGATTATGAAACCTTTATCTTCTCCAGCAAAATGGGACTTCCAGATTGGTATTCTGCAGCTAAACTAGAGAGAGGTTCCTGCATGCCATTCAATCAAGATTCAAGTCATGAAATTTCAAGGGCAATTCAGAAAAAGATCACTCTTGGACACGATATTAGAGAGAAACAATAGATGTACACAGATCCCAGAAAGGAAAACTGCGTGAATGAAGGCGGAGACAAACGGAAGCAATGTTACAGTAAACTAAATAATCTTTGCGCCTCTAAACAGAAGCAAGATGTCAGTTGCTTGGATGAAACTAAAGAAAAGACAAGAGAACAAAGCAGGAACACTTCTCTTCCATGAGACAGGACACGCATAAAGACACAACCAAACAAGATCAGAAGAGCGGAATACACGGGAAATCAAAGAAGGCCAACAAAGCAGCTGCATGTAAAATGGCAAGGAAGCAAAACATAACACCGTCTATTCAGTTTATTACTCAGACCTTGTCACCAACATATGGGACTTTCGCAGTTTGATCCTCTTGAAAAGAGAGTTCTTCGCCTGAACAATTCGGCCATTCTTCTTCACCCTTAAGTTCTGAAATGGAAGCTACAGATTCCGCTTCAACCTTCATAACATCATCTTGATTCTGCATCGTCACTTAAGCCCAAACTACAGATTCGTTTCGCTTAGTTTGATCTGAAAATACTAAGATCGTTCGAACAAATCAGACAAACCCAATGATTCCTTCAGACCCGCTATTTATCTGTAATAAACAAATCGAAACAAACCCAGAATTCCACGTTTTCTAATCAGACAGTGAGAGAAACTGCAAACACGATTCTTTTCTTAGCGACACAGATCCTAAACCTAAACTACTCGAAATCGTGATGATAATTCTTTCGGATAACATCAAAAACATCAAATTGGCAATCGAAAATCGACGAATCTGAACATAATGTGTACAGAAACAAGAATCGGAGATCGACAAGAAATCAATGGCGGACTTACGAACCATGGAGAAATGATTACCTGAAACCAGATCGCTGGACCTTAGATTTTCTTTCTCGTCTTTCTTTGGATTCTCTCGGAGTGAGCCCTAATTTCAAGCGAGTGGAGACTCTGCTTCTGAACGGGTAAAAATCCAAGGGAAAAAAAAGAAAAGAAACGGAAAGTTCTTTTGAAGGCAAACAAAAACGCCTTAGCTTTTTTTATTTTTCTTTCTGAAATTGGTGAAACCGATTCTTGATGAAGTAACTAGTATAGTGCAAGGGTAAAAGCGTAAAAGTACTGAAAGGTGCTTTGATTGGATGGAAGAAGCATAATTGCAAAAAGGGCCCTGTACTATCTCAATTATACAAATGACCTCCTTATTTTTATTTAATTCACATTGTACCCATTTTCTTGTACATATTGCCAAAAAAAGATGGTGAGGTTTTCACTGTTCCAAAACATAATTTTAGGAGAAAATTATTGATATTATAGGGTACGATAATTAGAGAAACGGACCATATAATTTAAGCCTTAGGCCTAACATAAAACACAATAGCTTTCGTTGACCGCTAAAAAGTTGTGATACTATCGAAATCGAATTGGTTTAGCTTTGAATGGCCTTGTTTGACCTATATATATATATATATATATATATGTATATTCATGAATGTGTAGTATGTATATATTTGCGTATTTAATGAATATATATATATATATATATATCTAATATATAAACAGACAATAATGTCGATATAAGATTTGATTGGGACGTTGAAGAGGACAAAATCAATGGAAGAAAGAAATGAAAAAAAAAACAAAGGAATCCGACTTAAACGATTGTTCATCACTCATTTTAATTAAAATTTATAAATAAATATGTGCCATTTGTTTCAAAATAAATTTAATTTTATTTGACTATAATTCTATATATGTATTTTATTTCCTTAAGCTACGGCATGGGTAGGAAGTCCATAGAGCGCAAGAAATCGGTGTACTGATTTCGAAGATTTCGGCACGTAATTTGACAATTCATTACCATTATTACCAAATAAAGTTGAACACATTATATATAAATAGCGTTCGTAAAGTCTGAAACTTCCATTTTATTTTATCATTAAATGTTAAAGTGCTCATCTATATTTTAGTATTTATTTTGGAGTTTATTGCGCACTAGAAATCAAATGATATTAATATGTTAACATAATAATATTTATCTTTTTTTTTGTTTTTCTAAATTACGTTTAGTCATCTTAATATAAAGACGACTAAAAATGTAATGTGTAGTCGGAGATTCGTTCTACATTTTTTAAATATACTTGTATAAACACTGTAAATAATTTGAAAATCGTTGGTCAAATAAATAATTAAAAAAGAGTTAAAAATCATTTCTTGTTAGTAGGAAAAAGTTTAAATGATGAATTAAATTGGTATAAATAAAGATCCTTTATGCAAAGAACCCCCCCCCCCCAGTATATTAATTTTTCATGGTTTGTAATTTAATAAATCCTACTTATAATTCCAAGATTAAGCGTTTAATTAAGTTTTTTTTAACTATGTTTTCAATTCTAAGTATTAATAACTTCTTTAAGCGGACCGTGTCGTGTCTTAGGAGTAATCAAATTGCAATTATCAATTTAAACACGTTATCTAAGTATAGTAGTTGTGTAGTATTGGCAAAATGTTCTTCCAAAAATGAAATAAAAATAAAAATAAACAGTAAACATCTCTATCCACCAATTAATGTTTTATTCATACATTAAATTATTGACATCCTTTGGTCATTTGATTTATTGTCTTAGATGAATTTTGTATACGATTTGACAGGACTTCTTTCAAATTTTATTATTAAATAAATATAAATTAGTCTTTTAATTCAATTAAAAAATTTAAGTCGCATCCATCATCGTTATTATTATATGTTATAATATTGTCCGCAATCCGATCGGCAAAAGAAAATATATCTAATAAATTATTTTATAGTTAGAAGTTATTCTTATCAGATTATATATATATATATATATATATATATACACACACACTATTACCTATTGAAATTTTAAATTTATACTATATTTCCATAGAAAATGTGAATTAAATTATTAGGATTTTATAAAAATTATATCCATTGATTTTTATGTTTGATTTTTTATTTCAATTTTTATTAATTAAAATTATATTATTTTTATAAAAAAATGAGTTTGTTGGTTATATTTATTTGGATTCAATTAATTTATTTATTTTTAAAATCATATGTAGTTAAATACAATTATATATTATTATCGCTAATATTTTAAATTAATAATTAACACTTTATATATACTTTTTAATAAATTTAATTAGTTTAATATAAAATTTGTTTTAAACAACTAGAACATATATTATTAGAAATATTTATTATTATAAATCAGGTAAAAATAAAATAAAATGATAAAAAAATTTCTGATTTGGAACTAATTCTTATTAAATATTCTAAATAGAATATTTTCAAAAAATGTATCATTATTATTATTCAAATATTGTAATAAAATATTCTATTTTTTATATAAATAAAAATATTAAATGAATAAAAAATAAATAAAAAACTTTCTTACATTTAAATTCATAATGTTTTGTAAAATCAATAAATTGTTTAATTCTCCTAAATTCTTTAAAAAAAATAGTTATATGTCACCTAGAAAATATTGTGGAGGAAAGATCCGTCTAGATAATGTACAAATATAGAATTATTCAATTTATTTGTTTTGGGTGTTATTGCAATTTTATAATTAGGATAACGTATGAGATTTGAATTTCCAATTGAAATATTATATAAGAACCGAACGGACGTATCTTTCCTCATATCTACATCCTTTATCGTCATTAAAGCTATAAACAAATTTCCTCGAATACTTCTCCTTATTTTTACGATTTAGATTCGGATTGTACTAATTTTTTGTATATAGATGCGGTTATTTAGGTAAAAATAATAATTTTAATATAAAATTTGAAAACATTGATTTGATTTTAATTTAGATTGGATTTTCGTTTCAATTTAACGTTTATATATTTTTGAAAAAAAATAATTTTTATATTTATTTTGAGGTTGAGATTTTACAAATTTGATTCATGTATCTTAATCTTGATAAATTAAACTTGAGACTTTTTTGTAGTTAAGTTTTAAATAAGTCTTTGTATCATTATTACTTTGGTTTCTCCTAATTTTTAAAGAAAAATCGTTTAAAAAATCATATATTCTTTATTTGTCTCAGTTTAATACTTATTTTTTTTCCAAACAAAACTCTTTTATTCAATGAAATGTAGAAAATATTTCTATACATATCAAATTTTACATATATATATATATAACATAATATATATATACACATATATACAAATACATACATATATATATGCACATATTATATATAAAGATATAGGGTGTGTCGGAGTTTTTTGTCATATCGGATTTCCCTCTGTCCACCTGTTAAATATTCTGCAAAGGAGTATTTTAATGCCTGCCTGACTGACAACATAAACTGACCACGGATTCTTTGGTAGTAAATCATATACAGTCGATCCAATAATTCAGAGCCAATTAGATTTGAACACGTATTTGGATCGTCCATTCATATTTCATATAAAGATGGGGAAAAAACATTGTTAGAGAATGCGATATTATATGATTACTTATCGATTTGATTTTTGATATATATTTTTTATAATATTCGTAGTATCTGAATTATAGGTTTTATGATTTGAGGATTAAAATTTAATAGTTAAATTAATGCGAACAATTCAGAAATTGAAAGATGAAAAGAAATATATTTTAAATTTTATTTTGCATGGACACTATAGTTTATTAAGCCTCAACAGTTTGTATTGACCAAGATAACTAAACAGGCCATGTGTTTTGTGGGACCATTTTACTTCACTTATACAAAAATAGAATTGATCCAAAATTAATAAGATATAATTTTATCTAAATTGAATAGATATTTTTATACAAAAAAAATCAATTCAATTGAATATAAAAAAATATTTTTTAAACACAAATTTTAATAAATAAAAATTGAATTCGAATTGACGTAAATTTAGTAATATACGCTAGCTAAAACTTGGAATTATTTTATGTAATGGTTATTTCATGTTCCCCGAAATTCCCCTCATCAAATCTATATATTATTTAACCATTTCTTCATATCTTCTATTCAAATGCAACGACTACCACCTCCTCCTCCCTCAAGAACCACCTCTCTTATTTGTTCTTGTTAGGACAAAATCTTTTTTTTTTGTGTGTCTTCTGCATGCTGTTGTCTAATCTCCGTACACAACCGATACGTAAAATGATACCAAATTATGACCCAAACGACAGGGAAGCAGGACTCGATCTTCTCGAAGATTTAACCACAAACGCAAAGCAAATTCAACGACAAGTCCTTCATCAGATACTCACTGAAAACTCCAACACAGAATACCTCAAAACGTTCATCCATGGCGGATCCGACGAGAAAAGCTTCAAGAACAAGGTCCCGGTCGTGAACTACGACGATATCAAGCCATTTATTGAGAGAATTTCCGGCGGTGCATCCTCTGATATCATCTCTTCTCAACCCATCACCGAGCTCCTCACAAGGTATATAGATTCATGCAGAAACGTTATATATATATATATATATGTGTGTGTGTGTATGTATATATAGGTTTGATTATGTTATATGATTATCGGTATATATAGCTCGGGAACATCAGCAGGA